AGCAGAAATCGGTTTTGGTCGAATTGTCCGCCTCGGACAATCTCGAAGCTTTCAGGACTGAAGTAGAAGAGAAGGGTTTCCATATTGATGAGGCCGGCTTTTGGTATGGAAGAAGAATCGGGTCAAAGAAGATGGGGTTCGAAGAGAGGACGCCGCTTATGATCGCTGCCATGTTCGGTAGCACTAGGGTTCTGAAGTATATAATTCAGTCTGGCATGGCTGATGTCAACAGGGGTTGCGGCTCAGATAGGGTCACTGCCCTTCACTGTGCCGCTGCTGGCGGTTCCACTGCTTCACTTGAGGTTGTCAAGCTCTTGCTTGATGCATCTGCTGATGCTGATTGCGTCAATGCTAACGGAAACAAGCCCGTTGACTTGATTGCCCCAGCTTTGAAGTCGCCCTGCAGCTCAAGAAGGAAGGCCATGGAGATGCTGTTGAGAGGCGATAAGTCAATTATGGAAAGCGATACTGAAGAGGGAGACCAACAGAAGGTTTCGAGCCCCCAGATGTCGAAAGAGGGAAGTGAGAAGAAAGAATATCCGATTGATATATCGTTGCCTGATATCAACAATGGGATATATGGTACAGATGAGTTCAGAATGTTCACTTTCAAGGTGAAGCCGTGCTCGAGGGCCTACTCTCATGACTGGACAGAGTGCCCTTTTGTTCACCCAGGCGAAAACGCCAGGAGGAGAGACCCAAAAAAGTACCCATACAGCTGTGTTCCCTGCCCTGAATTCCGCAAAGGATCGTGCCAGAAGGGAGATGTCTGTGAGTATGCTCATGGTGTCTTTGAGTCCTGGCTTCATCCTGCTCAGTATCGAACCCGCCTTTGCAAAGATGAAACCGGTTGCACGAGGAAAGTGTGCTTCTTTGCTCACCGACCCGAAGAACTACGCCCGGTGTATGCTTCTACGGGTTCCGCCATGCCTTCACCAAGGTCAATGTCAGTTAGTGCAGCAGATATGGCAGCCCTGAGCCCGTTAGCTCTGGGTTCATCAGCTATGTCTATGCCAGCTACATCAACACCGCCCATGTCTCCACTGGCGGCCGCTTCATCTCCTAAGAGCGGAGGTTTGTGGCAGAACAAAGTTAACCTCACCCCGCCTGCCTTGCAGCTTCCGGGTAGCAGGCTTAAGAGTGCGTGTAGTGCCCGAGATTTGGAGTTGGAGATGGAATTGCTAGGACTAGATGGTCATTCAAGCCAACAACAACAGCAGCAACAGCACTTGTGGGATGAGATATCTCGTCTCTCCTCCTCGCCGTCCTACAGCAGGCATGGAGAATTGAAGCCAACTAACCTTGATGATGCTTTCGGATCCTTCGATCCTTCTTTGTCGTCTCAACTGCAGGGACTCTCTCTAAAGCCTTCAACCCCAAACCATCGCCAAAACATGAACCAGCTTCGTTCGAGCTACCCAACCAACTTGTCATCCTCTCCGGTGAGGAAGCCCTCATCATTTGGGCTCGACTCACCCAGTGCTCTTGCAGCAGCCGTTATGAATTCCAGGTCTGCTGCATTTGCACAGCAGCGGAGCCAGAGTTTCATTGACCGCGGAGCAATGAACCATCTTCCCGGGCTTAATGCCCCAGTTAATTCTTCCACCATGAGGCAGTCCTCAGATTGGGGCTCACCTGGTGGGAAATTGGATTGGGGAATGCAAGGAGACGAGCTGAACAAGCTGACGAAGTCTGCTTCTTTTGGGTTCCGAAGCAACAATGCCGGACCACCTGGCTTTAAGACTCCGGCGGTTGAGGAGCCGGATGTCTCATGGGTCAATACCCTAGTTAGGGATGTTTCTTCCGAGAGGTCTGAGCTGTTTGGTGCAGACAAGAAGCAAAGGTATCATCACCTCAACAATGGGGGTCACGAAATGCTTCCCTCGTGGGCGGAGCTGATGTACATAGAACAGGAGCAGAGGGCGTAAGCAACGGTCCTGTGCTCCCAGCATCCGCTGAAGAAATCGACACGTCGAAGTATTTTATTAGTCTTTCGATAAATTTATAGTTACTTGTAATCTAAGAAAACGGGAAAGGTCACAGCAAACCAATTCCATTCAATCAAGGCCCTCAAATTCTGGGCAGGAGAAAGGAGACCAAGTTAGGCTCTAGAATTTGGAGAAATTAGATAGGAGGCGAATATGCTCTGCTTTATTTTTTCATTGTATTATTGTATTTATTTATTTATTTTCCCTCTCCATCTGGGAGATGCTAATTTCTAGTTCCCCGCAGAGATGATAAATGCATCAGTGGCAGAAATGTATTTTTATTCAGTCTGATCAAATCTTGCAACTCATTTGGAAAGTAAAGCGTCTCTCTGTTGTAATCTATGATTTTTCGATTTTATTTATTTATTTATATCAAAAATTATTATGGTTAAGGGAATGGAGGAGGATTCGAAACTATTACTTTGATTTATCTTCAAATCTTGCAACTCATGGGGAAGTGCTGGATCATTGTAGCTATTCCTTCCCATATTCGCCGTCATGCAAACGAGGTTGCTCGCTGTTTAGCCCGTTGGCTGTCCGATTCAACGAAGTTTGTACTTGGTTTGAGGAAACTCTTGACATCTTAAGGCATCATAGGCTACTGAATATCTAGATGGTTCATTGCCAATATCAGAAGCAAACCCTAGCTCATTTCCTTTGGCCAATCTAACTCAGTTCCAATTTCATTTGAGAAACTCGTTAAATACATGACACTTCAAGCTTATCTTGTGCCTCCTGGGTGTATACACTTGTGCGTTTACATATCTCATCACATGACGTTCGGTAATAGAGCAAAATCTCTGTTACTACTGGCCAAGTAATTCACAAATCATTAAAAACATTGCACTTCAAACATAAGTGGTTATTAGCCTATTAATGAGAAACTCTTGTATGCCACTCCCTACATTAATTCAGGTCCACCAAAATGAGCCAATGTGAGGCACGAATGTATAGGGTCTCTCTTATTCGTGTCTTGGGCAGACATACAATTTGGCATGAAGGGGCGCACCTAAGAACATCTCATGTTACTAGAGAGAGATTTCACCACATTCTTTGTTACGTCACATTGGCATCCTGAAACAATAAAGACAATTTCATGCGAGAAAATCAAAACACATAACACCGATAGCGTCCGAAAATATAAGTAAGTAAAATCTTCAAATCAAATACTGGCCAAGTAATGCACAAACGTTGATTTTTATTTGGTTTGGCACAAAATTGGTTGGTTATCACAAACATTATCCTAATCCCAATATAATGCAAGGCTAATGAAAACAATCTAGGGTTTAGGTTAGGCATTATATCTAATTATCTACATTGGAAGTTGGGTGGTCACCTCTTCGATCCATCCATCCTTGCTGGAACGTTTCAGTGCCAGGATGGAAAGCAAAACGCAGCGTTCTGCCTTTGTTTCTTATTTATACAAAATTGTTAGGCCGATGGCGTGTGGGCCCCCGACATTTGACGTTTGTCCTTGCTTGGTCCATCCAGCCGCCCATGAGTTAATTTTCTCAATCCAACAAATATGAAGTGTCCAAAATCCCCCATAAACGAAGCTTCCTCCTACTTTTCCTTTTCCAATATACAGGTGATTACTGACGAGGATGACACATCCACTTCTTTCTTGTCTTATTATATTATTTGAAAAACAATTTCCGCACTTCTGTTTTCTTCTTGCAAAAGGGTTACACAGAAAGAATGATCAAATCAAGTTTTTTTTTTTTTTTTTTTTGTTTTGTTATGGCTCAACTTTAATCATTTTTTGCTTGACCTTTATAGTTCAAGTGATAAAAAGTTCCGCCCGTACTTAGACTCACTGTACGTGTGAATATGCAGTATACACCAAGTTGCAACACATACATAAACACACGCTTCATGATTCTAAGCCGAGTTTAGTGCAGATCTACGAATATCCATATATTTGAAACTATGTACATTTTTTCTTTTTACAACACGATATTCTAAAGTATTTTACTTTCCCTCCATGAGGACAACTTTCTAATTCCATTTTGCCAAAATTCTTAAAATAATAGGCCAACCTTCCTAAAAAAAATTGGAAATATTAGGCCGAATAAAAAAAAAGAAAAATTAAAATATTTATTGGTTTTGGTCAAAAACTTCTCTAGCCCTTTTTGTTGGGTCAAGAATACTAACTTTGGGCCAAAATCTTAGCCACGCGGCCCACACCTAATGTATTTCCTAATTTGGGTTTTACTAACCCAAACTCATTTAAACGATTTAAAGCGTTTTGTACAGCCACTTAATACTACGTTCTAATAGTATTCCTCTTCACTGGTAAGTGAGAGGTTTTAGATTCGATTCTTGTTAAAGGCGAATTTGAACTACATTGTTGCTAGCGAGGCTAAGCCCACCCCCTCTCCTTAATGTCGACTAGCATATGGGCACACACAAAGTGTGTAAGAAAATATTTAAACAGCAAAATTTGGTTATTTCATAGAATTTTGATTGACAATGAGTGTTTTATTAATTAGTAAAGATAATATCAAGAGCCGTGTGATGCATCCGACCTTGAATGAGTGTTTTATATTTTTAGGGTCGTCCAATCCATTTTCATCGTCTTTGCATGTCTATCAATTCAGTGATTGTTTATGGTGGGAAGTTTATTCCTGGTTATTCTCAGGGTTTTGACACTCGGATCCTTTCTTCTTTAGGGATCCAACCTATCCCTCGCAAGCACCTACTATTCTTCCTGTCCCTTGGTCTCCTCCTTAGTTTCCTTGGGTTAAGCTTAATACAGATGGTTTGTCTAAAGGAAATCCCAATCCTGCTGCATGTGGAGGAGTTTTCAAGAATTGCCATGGTCGTTTTCTTGGAGGTTTTTGTCAATGGATTGGTCATCGTAACTCTTTTTTTGCAAAGTTATCAGCAATTATTATTGGTATTGAGTTTGCATATTAGCGGGGTTGGCATTGTCTTTGGTTGGAAAGTGATAGTTCTAGTGTTATTTCTGCTCTTCAATCATCTGATTTTGATTTGGCCTCTTCATACGCAATGGTCTATTTGTTTGGATCGCATTCGGAAAATGACTTTCTACGCATCTCACATATATCACGAAGAAATCTTGTTGCGAACAATTTTGCTAACATGGTATTGTCTTCTCCTAACTTGGCATGATTCTCCTCCAATGGCGGTTCGGGCTGCTCTGTTTTCAGACTATGTTGGCTTGCCTGGTTACCACTTTTCAAATTAATGTATATGTCGGCATCCAGGTTTGTCTCACTTTCTTTTTTTCTCCTAACTTTATGGGGTTGTTTGACTTGTTTTGCAGGTTTAGACCTTTAGGTTTGAAGGGATTAGGTTTCATGTCTCCCTCCCCCCCCCCCCTTTTTCTTTATTTCATTCTTGTTTTTTGTTTCTAGAAGGGTAAGGTTTATGTCCCCTCTTCTTTTTCGTGTATTCCTTTTTATTGTCTTTGTTTTTTGAGGGATAAGGTTTAGGTCTCCCCCTAACTAGGTGTAACTTATTTTTTCGTTATCAATAAAATTTTCCTTGTACCGTCGAGGGTTCCCAAAAAAAGAAAAAACAAAAAAAAAAAAAAACGGTGTGATGCATCCGACCTTGAATTTGTTCAGGAATAGGTTCCCGTGCCTTGTTAAGCTTGCACATTGCATAAATACATAACAAAATGCTTAGAATTGTATTACTTTGAGGTTTTGCAGCTCCATGGAGATGGCTTCCGAGCAGGTTTTTCTGCATTAGTTGGAGAGCACCGTATAATCTATGTTCTTCATGCTAACGAAGATGGAAGTCTTGTGAACCAGATTTCCGCTGAACAATCTTCTCTGGTTGATTGGATTCTTGTGGATAGTGCAAAGGGTGGCAGGTAAGGAAATTCATTTTTCTTCTTCATCTACTCTCGTTCTTAAACATCGTCTTGTATGTATGACCGTTCGCATTAGCAACTGTCTGAACATAGATTTAACCCACGTAGTTTACTAGCAACTTCAGTAGAAAGACAACGACGTATTTCCTTCAATTTATTCGACATAATTACCACGCGAAGACCGTGTGTAAAGTGTTTTATGGTTCCAAAATGTCCATAACCTCACATGTGCCTCTGCTGTGCTAATTTCGTCGAAAGAACAGACATAATTAAGCCGCTTCACCCAAACTACTGTGAGCACAATCATTTAAATGTATGTAGTATCGAATATATGAGATTGTTATGATTCACTTCACTCTGAAACCGTTTGGACGCAGTTTAAGCTACCGAACATTAGGAGCAAACACGGGCGGCTCTGGGCAGGAGGAATAAAGCCTGAGAACGCTGGTGAGGCTCTTTCTGTCCTCAAACCTCAAGGAATTGATGTCAGCAGCGGCATTTGCGGCCCAGACGGCATTCAGAAGGATCAAATGCGAATATCTTCCTTCATGAGTGCAGTTCGTTCTGTAAACTGATCGAGCCTGAGCAGATATCATTTGGAAATTTCAAGACTCAACCCTTTTCATTCAAATCATTATACTTCACTATACATATTCCAACGTGTTACAATTCAACAGCCTGCAATGTATCTATGCAAGGCACCTAGTTCTCTTAATACACAGTATATTAAGAAAAAGAATGGCTGCCAAAGGCAGACTAGTAATGCAGAGCCAGAAACTGTCCGGGGGTTAAAGCAAGGTGGTCAGAAAGAATTTAATCCTTTGGTACGCTGTAACGCTTCGATCGTTGTACCTATGACTTCACGGCTTCATTCTGGGACTGCTGATCCGGCGAGTTCCTTATCTGTTTGATAATATACAACATCCCCTGTATCACTCACGTAATGATCTTGTTTAAAGCTTCTTACAAGGACTCCCAGTAAGTGAAGTGGGAGAGGCCCCGATTTCTTCGGTTCTCTGTAGTACTTCCCAAGCACAGGCTTAGCTGCCTCTGTCTGGAACGAACAAACGGAAAACAAGCCGAGAATTAAAACAGGGTACACAATTGAATTGATTTTTCGGCCAAAGAGATTAGTTTGAAGGGGTACTCACTGCTTCTATTAAGTTGTAATGTGGGATTTGAGGGAAGAGATGATGTATAACATGAGTCCCGATATCATGATGGATGTTGTTGATCCAACCGTAATCGCGATCGATGGTTGTCAATCCTCCTCTTAGGTAACTCCATTCCTGTTTGATAGATACAAAATATTTCAGAAGTGTGAAAGCATTTGCATTGTTTGGAGATTTAACAAAATCGAACACTTTACCTTCCCACGGTACCATGGAAGCTTGTCCTCATGGCCGTGGTGATGCAAGTAAGTCACTAAGTCCAACCACAAGACAAACATCTGCATTCGGAAGCAAATTTAAAAGAAACAATTGCAAGATGAGAGAAGGAACACTCGGTAGAGGCATTCGTTTATGCCAGCATTGCAGAAGCACGAGCATATGGAGACGGAACCTACCCAGTATGGAACACCGTAGAGCTTAAGCACTTGGACAGGACCCATTGTGAAAGACAGACCGACTAGCAGCGCAGCCATTGCTGTCCAACTGGCAGTGGAAGTAATGATATCTTTCCTTTCATTCGGGAGAAACAGTTCGCTGTTTGGATTGTAGTGAGACCCATTCTTTCCCGGACTTCGATTCCACTGTGATCGAAATCAGCAGCATATACCACAACATATCAGAAAAAGACATCACAGGCTCATTGTTCGTTTAAGTAACAAAGAAGCGAGGAAGCGGAAGGCTCACCAGATAGAAAGGATAAGCAAGCATGGGGAATGGCAAGGTGAACCTAAATATCTGAGTCATCTTATCTAAGCTCTTGTAAATTTTCTCAGGCAACTGCAAAACCAGATGAGACTAATTACGAGCGAAATAACTTACTTGTTCGAAGTTAATGAAAAACAAAATCTATAGGATGAACAATTTGATACGCCGAATTAAGAACAGAGTTGGACACAAACGGAAACTCACCGGATGCCAAGACTCATCGTTTTCGACGTGTCCATGGTTCTGATGATGAGTTCTGTGGCTAATTCTCCTGTGACAGTAAATGGCCAATGGTTACTGTGCAAGTTTTGTTACATGTATGGACAGGATTATATTTTCTGAAAGAAAACTAACCATCCATGGTATGGGACAAGGATTGAAGAATGAAGAAGATGACCGACCAAGCTATTCAGCTTCGGATTATTCGAGAAGCTTCCGTGGCCACTGCACAAACAAAACAACAAACAATTCACATCAATCGGCTAAGAAAAACTGCAAGAAGCATAAAATTCAAGAGGCACTGAAATCCTGAATTAGAAAGTGCACATTTTTGTTCACCGCCCCTTAAGTGGTTGTAAGCATCGTTAATTGCCAATTAAATGAGTGTTATTTAATCTGAAGAATTTACAACACAAATCTCGAAACTCAAACTCAATAATTAATGTAGAAAAATACACTCAACTAGAAGAACGTGTAAAAATTAATACTTCAACTGAAAGAAAGCAAACTTTACGTACCAATCATGTCCAAGAACAAAGAGAGCCCAGAACATGGTGCCCTGAGCAACCCAGTAGAGAGGCCAAACAACCCAATTGTTAAAGTAAGCTGCAACAGCCGCCATCCCAAAAACCACCGCCACATCTCTGACCACATAGCTCATAGATCTCCAGGGGTCCTTAACCCAGCAATGCTTCGGAATGGCAGCCCTGATGTCACCCAAATTGAAGGGGGGAGGGGCACCAGGGTCGAATCCACCACCGTCTCCAACCCCATGTGTGCTCCCTCTCCCATTATCTTCCCCGTCCACGGATGGGACCCGCAATGGGGCACTCACATTGAGTGACCATTTTGCCTCTCTGAACCGAAAAAGATTGGTGCTTTTTGAGGTTGGAAACGGCCGGAGGGAGGAAGGAACGGTGGGTTTTGACGGGAGGGCGTTTCTGGGATGTGGGTAGGATTTAGGGAGAGGTTTTAGGGTGCATTCTGAGAGGACCCAAGTCGCCATTGGAGAGACCCAGAGGGGAAAAATGCAGAAAGATTTGAGCTTTCAGGTCGGATTGGATGGCGGAATGGAGAGTGGAAGTGGAACTAATCGGTCATAAAAAGTAGGACGAGGAGGATAACATAAGGGCCTCCCTCCTCCACGTCCAAATACAACTTGTGCTTCTTGTCGCTCGTCCTCTTCTCTCTCCCTCTAGGATTATGCAAGTTGCAACAGTTTCTCTCCCCTCCTCTGTTGGTGGATGGTAATAAAATGGATTCTGCGTTAAAAGCTTATTTTGTTTGGAGAGTTTGGTTTTGTTTATATATTGGATGTTGGTGCGCGTACGAACAAATTAAAAATTGAGTAACGTATTCATATCATGTTTTTGTAGCACATTTCTTCTTCCTTTTCTTGGATTTTACAAATTTTTCAAATGATATGATTGTCCACAACCAATGTCATCTAAGGTGATATATAAAAATATGGTATAAATAGCATTACTGTTAAAAATTTCAAGTTTTTTTTTTTTTTTAAGTATAACGATATATTTTTACACTAAGGGGGAAGGGGGAATGGGGAGTTCGGCTAAGCCACACAATAGGTAACCTAATTTGGTATCGAATTCGCCATTCAAGAGATTCACAAGTAAAATAAATATCATCAGATTCTAATATTAAGTAAAAAAAAATTGCAAGTTAGAAAGAAAAAAAAAAAGGGAAAGAAAGATGGAATTTTAGATGGGAATTGGATCCTCTCCTGACTGAGCCCAAGGAGAGGATCCTCCTGATCAATGATCTTGTATCGTTAGATTTTCATCCAATGATTATAATTATTATAACTTTAAAGAGATCCGATATTTGTAATCGTTGAATAAAAATTCAACGGTCCAAGATCTTTGGTCAGAAAAATCCTCTCTTTAAGCTCAGGAGAGAGGATCCAATTCCTTTTAGATGGGAGGCAAAAGAGAGACGTTGATTGGACAGCGGGCCCAAACAAATGTGAAATAAGGCGGGTAGTGGACGCGGTCAAAATCTGGCTCCTATTGGTGGACAAAACTTTTGGTATACGTGAAACTGTACCATCACACCAAGTTATAATAATATAATTAATTAAAAAATTAAAAAAAAATTAATTAATTATATTACGACATTTAAAAAGTTCTTGTGGCGTAGCTGTGTGATTTACGTTTGTTCTTTGTCAAATTCGTTTTTGTCCTCGTGAACCATTAAAAGTCAATTTTAATTTGTCATTTTTCAATAATTGAAATCGCAGCGTGACACACATTAATAATGATTTTTCTATTTCAACCGAAATATGGATCGCCAATTTTCACATGGCCTGTTCAACCAACCAAGTACTAAACCGTCCTAGTATTATAATTGCGACCGCCTAGTGTTATGATTGAAGGTGTTCAGTGAGAAAAACGTGGACGTACAAATCAAATGTCAAACCAAATGAATTTTAGACCCGAGGATAAAGTAAAAAAAAATTTAAAGAAAATAATTTAAAAACTTTAAATTTTAATGATAAGAACAAAATAAAAAGTAAAATGAATAGTACTATGATTGACTTTTTAGTGTAAAACTATGATTTTTCGTTAAAACTTTCTGATGTAAATAGATCAATCAAAGAATCAACCGCACGTGGTTCGTGCAGATTTTCTTTTTTTTTTTTCCATTTTGTTGAGTCCTTCCTCGTTTTGGTCGGAAGAGTACGTTTGATCCAAGAAATTGGACCACCGTATTAAGCGGTAAAATTACAATCGCACGCAATATAATACGGTTTAAACGGTTTATTTGTAATTATTAATCATTAGAAGAAATGTATGATTCAAACGCCGTGATATACTTGATCTTATTAAATTTCACACACCAAGAAGTTTACTGTCAATGACTCCATTGTGTGCTCATGGTAGAAGTTTTGAATAAATGTATTGCCGTGTATTTGGATTTAAGTTCTTTTCTTTCTAAGATGTGGAATAGAATAATTCGGTTGAAGTGTAACAATCATGCATTTGTAATGCATTGTATGGCCCATAATAGTTCCCATTCTTTTACCCTTTTTCAGGGAGTCAATGACTAATCATAGCTATCCCCTTGACACCAAAGAAGAGTTTGACTCAATGCTTTATTTATGTCCTAGTTGATCCTGATTCAACTTGTTCAAGAACACAAAACCAAACCGAACCCGAACATTTTAGCATGTTAATTTGATACAAATTCCAGAACCCCGAAGAAAAGATAGCAATGATTTACAGGGATAGACACAATATAAGAAAAATATGAGCAATTTATGTACAAAAAATACAGATTGTGGCAGTGCTGGATCAAATGCATCAGTAGAACGTGAGAAAATAAAAAATTAAAATGTGCATAGTAGAACGCTCAATCAGGGTACCTTTCTTGAACCGGAAGAGCAAGATTCAGATAAATCTTGATGAATACGTATAAGCACTGGTAACCGATTGATGTTAGCTCGTCATATTTGCCACCATTTACGATTTTCCATTCTCTTGGCGAGCTCCCTTGCCATTGACGCGAAGTCCTCAGCTCCGCTTCGCAGTTCTTCTGAGTTTTGGCTGAGTTTCTGGTGTGTGCAAAGAAGACATGGTCATCAGCAGATGAATCATGAATTGTGTAGTGACAGAAACAAAATTACACAACGCAAGGATTCTCAATGCCGTGGAATGTGAATGCATCTTTTGTTAGATCAGCGAAATGTAACTCAGACAAGTAAATCCTATGTCATAATTTGGGATTGCTAGTGTAACATATCCGTGCACAGCCATTGATGTTTGTGGACTCCACAGTAAGTCCTACACTCATCAACGGCTGAAAAAGATAGCGTCATGTGCCTGAGACTGACTAACGTTAGCATAGTTTGGGGGATCTGAGGTCTCCATTAAAAGAAACTTGTACCTCAAGTTTTTCCTGGCGTTCTGCAAGCTTATCTCTCGCAAGTGCCGCTGCTGCACCCGCAGACACATCCTGAAACAATCGACCACGTTAGAACGTAATCCCCATTTGTTGTCTACGCTTTATATAGCCGTGAAGTCTAATGAAATACTCATTAAATATGCAAGAAGTACTTAATCTTTTTGTGGAAAGAGTAGTTAAGTACCCCAGTGTCTCTATATTTAGCCTTGATTTCTTCAGCTGTCCTCATTTTTGGTTTTGTATCACTTGTCGCGCCTTCAAATAATCTTTCCTTCTCTGTTCCCTTGTCTGCGAAGAAAACACCGGGGCATCAAGTTAAGACCACTAAAAAAGTTTCGACCTAGAAAATACAACAGTTATACCTTTCTTTTCATTCTTGTTCTTCTCAATTGAAGAAGGGGGAGCAGGTCCATCAATTATGAGAGGTCCGTCAATTACAAGATCGTCTGCACCAAAACAGTTAAGACTACGATTACAAAGAGGATGGAGGTAGAGGTAAAAAGGATTACAACAAAAGATAGTTAACCTATATGAAGTTTCAGAATTTCTTGATCATCCTTCCCATCTTGGGAAGGTTTTAAAAACGGCGGACTTGAAAATAAGCTCTCTAAATTCTCACAATACTTCTCATGATTTGCTGGGTGCATGTCTTGTTCCGCTTTACCCGCTTTTAAGCCCTTGATGATACCGCCTAAAATACCAGGGACACCAACCTGTGGCTAACAAGATGTTCAGGCTCAGCAATAAATTACACCTTCACCACAAAAAAATGATAAACAGTGCTTCAAGCAACACACTGCAACCTGTTTCTGGCTAACAGATAAACTAGCAATGACATCCGTAGCAGCTGCAATCACTTTATCGTGAAGACAAGGCAACGTTTCAGGAATCCTAAGCCAACCAAAATCCAATTAGAAGCATGATTTGTATAAAGTGGTTTGAATAAATTTGCAATGAAGTTATCATTTGAAGCTTAAGGAATGTACACGTACACAAAGACAACTATATGAGAGCGGGAGGAGGTTACCTGAAGTCATTTTCATGGGACAAAAGAGATACAAAAGCTAATTCACTCCCATTTACCTAAAAAGATAAAAAAAAAGAAGTTTGAAGGTTAGAGAGTGCAACACAAAGGTATAAATTGGAGGTGCAGAATACACGCGCCTGCCACCGGGAGACCGAAAGTTTGGATTGTGAAGCAGATGCTTTCCAGTGGCATATAATATACTACAGAAAAAAACCGCGTGCTTATACAAAATGAAGAAAGAAACTGACCAGAATAATTTGCCCACGATCAGAGGAGCAGATTGTCTTGTCCATGTTGGTCTTGAAGTTCCATCTCAGAATTGACATTAATGAAAATCCTCCCACCACTTCAAGATTTGGAAAAGACCTGTTGATCGATGGCCAATGTTTTATGATACAAATATTGTTCAAATAAAATGATAAAACACATTGGTGCCAAATGCATAAAACATCCCCGCATATGTGCATTCGCTGATCAAAGTAATATCAGGTTACACAGCAAATAGAACTCGAGAAGCAAGTGCGAGTGCTTCACCTTATTTCGAAAACTCCTGTCTGATAGAATACAACCAGTCCACCATCTTTCCCGTCTTTGTTGAAGGCTGTAGTCCAGCAACATGGTTTTGCAAGGTCCACCTTCTGAGTGGAGTTACAGTCACCCTGGAATTAAGGCAATTTCACTTATTGGTAAAAAGAGATACGGAGATGTTCAACACTAAAGTGATAGCATAAAGGCACCTCAATCAAAGACTTCAATGAGCACATCTGTAATGCATTATCACAACAAAGTAAAACAGTTGTGTTCGTTGATCTCTGCACAAAATATGCAGTTTTGCTAGTGGTGTCCTGCTCAACTTCCGGCTGCGTGCTTGCAGGGTCGGCATCTTTTTGTGCATGATCCTTTTTAGCTTCAGTTATCTGAGAAACGTCCAACGATTGCTTTGCACTTGGAACATCACATAAAAAATCACCATCCTCTGCATAAAGACAGTTCTCAGAAAGCCAAATCTATGTTTTTGTTATTCTAGTATAACATCCCCCACCCCAAAAAAACCAACCAAACAAAACAAAATCAATGATTGGAATGAAATTACTCACCAAAAATGTACATTGAAACCGCAGTGAGCTCCTTTTTCGAATTCATAGTCCAAGAGCTAACCATATCGCCAGAGGCACCGTCTATAACAACAATATGCGCATTTCTAGTCATAACGATTATCAACCCATTTCCAGGATCTTCCAAATTCTTGGACGCAGAGTCCTCTGGACAATGTGATGAGTTACTGGTATCTGAAAATGATTTTACAGCCAGACAGGTGACTGGGGAACTTGAGTTGGATACACTGTCTGAAAGAAACAAAACTGACATTGTACTGATATCAAGCATCGCAACCTGTATTATGACATAAAAAAAAATGAATTCTTGAAATTTATTCATTTGAAATTAACATCCAATCTAAGAACGTATTTGTAGTACAATAAATTTGAGAAGACGATTCTCACCCGGCCACATTCAAAACCCACAGCAAGTCGGCCTCCAAAGTTTGCATATTGTAGGATGCATATAGGTGAATCAAGAATAGAAAACATGGCCGTGCACTGAAGCCCCTTTCCTTGATGTAAATTTTTAACTGCAACCAGCACTGCTCTTGTTAGAAAATGAAATCACAACAACAACAACAACAACAAAGCCTTTTCCCACTAAATAGGGTCGGCTGTATGAATCCTAGAACACCAGCACTGCCTTATTAGAAAATGAAACCGATCCACTAAATTTAAAATCAATGGAATAACAGAGACATCTGTAAATATAAAACCTCCTGCCATTCAAACAAAATAATAGAGACATTGGCACACAACTAATATATATGTAAGCCAACCTTCCTTATCAGTTTTTGTCACAAAGTGCACTCTGGTCTCTTCTGAACCACCTATTAGGTTATAAAGACGAACCTACACAATCTCAAACAAGAACAGAATCACTAAAGTATAAAATTAGGATGACCTAGTAGAAAGGCGTCCATAAGATCAACTAAATCTTACCAGACCGCTATCGTCACCAACAGCTAGCCCTATAGTAACAGAACAGAAATCCAATGCTGAGACCTTTGCACTTGCGCCCGTAGATCTGATTCCTTTTACCTTCCATTCATATTAAACAAGATAAAATGATTTCTGAAGTTTATTCTCGAATATATCATGCAAAAACTGCCTGTGACAGTATACCAACCTCAGGGTCCTAAATCACAGATAAGTGAGAGAGCTGGATATGTGGCATCCCATATCCGAACTGATCCATCTTGGTATCCTGCTATATAAAATCTCTCGACGTGATAATCTTCAGCAGTACAAAGCTGGCTGGGAATACCACCGGTCAAAGGCCACTTTTTACCACCAGTTGTTGAAGCATCTTCCACGTTAATCTTTCCAACTAAGAATTTCTAATGGCCAAAGACATACAAAGTTAACAAATTCATTCTAAAGGCCAAATACATATAAAGTTAACTAATTCAGAAATAAGGAAAAGAAAAAAAAAATTGAATTGTGATCAGAAACTCAAATACCCTTGAGAGTTTCTTGTGATACGAACGTACAGTACCTTAGAAAAAACTGAGGAGTATTCCTCATCTCTATGCACCAGAGAAAGCTTTGCAACTGTCATATATGGTTCAATAGTGGGTAAGAACACAGGATACTGCACTGCTGGAACAGCAGTCTTCTCCTTTTGCTGAGACATTAAGGCCAACAAGCAAGCCTTGTCATAGACATGCAGTTGTCCCTGATTTGTCAAAACAAATAGCAATGTGCCACTATTCTCCGTTGCACCAGCAGTCGGTAACAAAACTAAATCCGCAAATGAACCATTAAGTTTAAGGTCTGTACGGCCAACGCATTTCAGGCTTTCTACTCCTGAAGACCAATCAAGGCTCAGAACCTGTGAATGAGAAAAGAAACTAATATGTAACAATTATACTAAACATCACAAGAAAAACTGCATAACTAACAAAATAACAGAGTAAACAAGCTCATCTGGATCAACACCGTACCGTCAGAACTTCTTGAGATCCAATGTCATCACCACCATAGACAAAGAGTTGGCCCCTATGATGATTATCTAACCTATTTGCAGACCAGTGTAAAACAATGACAGGGAGTCTTCTATCACCTGATGATAACTGTAGCTTTGCAACATTGTTATCTAATTTTTCGGATTTCTGATCCTTGGTAGAGGCAGCAGTTGATAAGTCCCAAAGCATTATATCACCATCTACATAGCCAACGGCAAGAATCGACCCATTGTCAGATACCCAACAAAGAGAGCTTATTTCTTTCTCCACCTGCTTGCTTTCTTCTGTAGCATCAGAAAGCTCCTTTGTTGTGTCCTCTGGAGAATTTGTAACTGCCTTTTCCTTCACTTTCAGGTCCTTGGAACCTCTAACAAGAACAACTCGGTCCTCGGAAGCATCCCAAATAATGATGAGCCCATTCTCATATGCCATTACCAATCTGCAAAAGAACGCATTTATGAATCCATATTTAATTAATGGAAGCGGCAACACGTATGCATGTGTGAATAGGTATATGGTCGTAGCTTGTATATGTGCTACATGTTCATCTTAGGAAATAGTTTGAACATTTGGCATTGCTTTGGAATGAAAAGCCAAGATCTAGGTATAGTATCTTCACATGATTTTTCTTGCCTGTTTCCCAGAGAACCAGGTTGATGGAGAACTCCGACAACAGAAAGATGATCAGGTACTGACATTCCAGCTGCTTCTGCAAAATGAGTACTTGACTCAGCATTAGAATACAATAGGCATGAGTTTTTCAGTACATCAACTACGGCATCAGTGAATTACAAGAGCTTAAGCAATTACCGGCTATGAAATTTGCAGTAATATAGTACGGCAGTAATTTTATTCTTCCATCTTCAACATCATACTTCAACACAGAGACCATTGCATATTCACTTCCAATATACCTGGCATAACGATAGCGCAATGTTAAATTCCTTTGCCAAGTTTCACTTCGATTTTCAGCCAATTACTGTCAACTGGTTACACAGTACAATAATAAGCTTTACAAGTGCTGTACATGTAATTAGTGCCATATATAACAGAGAATGAAGTTATATTGCATTCCCACTGTAAAGAAGAAGCCATTCGCCTCTGTTCCAAATCCCAAACCTGCCAACATCAACAACCTATTAAACCAATCAATATTGTCAGTATATACTATATGAACACGAAAAATGCAACATATAATATAAGGATCAAGGTGAAAAAATAGATAGAAATCTTAAAGGTATCAGATAATGCCTGGTAGCAGATGTCGGTTTTTTATAATAAAATTGGATAGCTTAAGAAAAGGCAATACCTGAATTTCATTTTCACTTGAGACACTGGCTAGAAAACCCTGATTTTGCAGGAACTGCAGAAATACACAACGAAAACACGAACTACAACTAGTTAGAAAAGTATGAGATCTCCATAAAATTTTGAAATATTTCTCAACGGAAACTAGGCCTCTAGAGGTGGAGCATGAAGACAGTTTAAAGTAGGATTGGATGCGGTCTCCTTTTGGAAGAACGATAGCTAAAGTCTTTGTGAGCAAGGACTAGAAAATAAAAATAATATACCAATTGCTTCTTGCTTCTAAACTTACTAACCTCTAAGTTTTTAAAGGGAAGTGGCTTTGGAGATGTAAGAAGCCCTTCGATATTATCACCACCGATCACTTTTATCCTACCATCCCTACATTCAGTACACAATGAAGTCAACTTGAAGTTAAGAAGCTCCCACATTTTGTATGTAACACTCACTTCTTTCTGGAATTTTGAAGGAAGACACTACGGCATCATAAAAATGGACTCTTGAATTTGAACCAGAAACGTTGCAGAGGCTCAAGCAAGCAGAATACTGATTGGACATGTATAACATACTGAAATTCGAAAGCACACATTGTCCATAACATATGTGAACTCACAGTGTTCCGATTGCCAACAGGCTTTGCGTGCGATCTACTGCGAGAATGGACGAAGTAGACGGGATCCCATAGTGAACAACAACACGCGGATCCAAATCCGCTTGTTTGACCCTTGCCTGAGGCACATTACGCCAGATGAACAATATCAAAAAAGCTTCAACACAACAATTACATAGACACATACGGTTTCAATTACAAATGCGGTAAGCATTCAAAAGCAATTTAGAGAAGATTTTCATTTCGATATGCTAAGAAACTATACTAAATTCAGCATTTAAAATCTCTCCCTATCAAATTTTATCGATGAGATGAGCTCATTAGCTCTGTTTCTCCTTCCAAATTCTTCTTTTTTTCGTGATTAAAACTTAAAATGATTTCATAATTTTAATTTGATCAGCTTCCATTGTAGCACGTCAATTACTTTCACTCCAAAACAATCAAATTACAAATAAAAATCATTTTCTAACGAAATGCGATTCGGGAAAAAAAAAAAAAAAAAAAACTCGAATTCAAATTACGACGGAAATTATGGAGAGAGTACCTGAGAATTTGGTGGTTGCTGTGAAGATTTGTTGAAGAACTTGGCGAACATAGTGATTCAGCGACGAGTTTTGGATGGAGCGTCAGCTTCTGTATTTCTTCGTCTGAATTTTGGTGAAAAAAACGAAGGGAAAATATGGTTTCTTTTGGTTCGGTTTCTTCGTTTCAGGTGCGGTACGGACGATTATGCTGGCGCGCCACGTAGAGGATGTTTATTGGGAATTGTGTGTTGCAATGGACGGTGATGCAAGGAGGGAGGAGGGCTCACGGACCGTCGGATTAGTAAAGTTTTTGCCTTGATTAATTTCAGATTAAAGGCGTTTATGTGACTCAGTCTGACATCATATTTCGTTTTGAGAAATTTTTTAATGAGACTATCACATATTGGTGCAATTCATTATAGGTTAGCATGGGTTTGGTGCAATTCATTATAGATTAGCATGAATTCACCATTACGTGACGTCTCATGCTAATATTATGAGAAAATGTGTTACTTTATTTTCTCATGATCTCTTGTTATTAGCACGAGATGTCATCTTGATAATGAACTCATATCATACAAGTTGTTTTATGTGTTTAAGCTCTCAAAATCTCACTAGGATTGGTTGGTTTTGGTTTCTATTTTTAGGAAAGTTTTTCTCTTTAATTTTCATATGGTATTATGGGATTCATGGTGGTGATTAAGTGGTGCAACTCATAAGCATTGTACTCCTTATCCAATATAATTTGAGAGTTTCACATGATATTCGTGTAACACAAGATTTAATTGATTATATTGATCTTTGTAATCTTGCAGTCCTCATTAAGCTCTGCTTTTAACAAAGTGCGTAAAGTTTGCTTATTGTTATGCAATTAGTCATGCTTTATTGTACTATTTTTTAGATCTAATTTGCAAAGACCTTTTGGGGTTGAATTGTTCATGAATATGTCCACGTGACTACCCTTTATTCATTGAATTAAATATTGTACTTTTTTTAAAATAAAAATAAAACATTGACATGCTTTATTCATTGAATTAAATATCTTACTTTTTCAAAAATAAAAATAAAATATTGACATGTTCGTATTTTATGTATTTAATTTTAGATATGATCATTTATATGATGTACTGTTTATTTATTTTATGTATATGAATGACTAAAAAATCTCTAAATAAAATGGTGTTTTTTTTTTTTTTTTGTTTTTGCATATATAATCTTCAGATGAAATTTTATCACGGGATAACACAAGCAATATCTTTAATAAAATACAAATATATCGATCATAAATATCTAATCATGATCCATGATCACGAAATGATGCCCTTTGTAATTACTATTTGGTTGTCATGGATTAGACATAACTCCTTTGTAATTATTATTTGGTTTTCATGGATTAGACATAACTCCTTTGTAATTACCATTTGGTTTTCATGGATTAGACATAACTACTTTTTTTTCGACAAAAATAAATGGCACAACTACTTTCTCTTTCCCTTTCCCTCTTCGGTCTTTTCACCGAGATAAACATCAACCAATCCAATCAAGAGAATCATGTAGCATTCAAAATAATGTTTTACTTTGCATTTGTTAAGATGTTCCTTTTTTTTTTTTTTTTTTTTGCCAAATTGTAGATCCAATATAATCTTGTTATTCACACACCATTATTTACCTCTCACGTACTTTTCTGAATTTTCGACTATATGGTCGAATGAATTAAAGAAGATCAATTAACAAAAATACATAAAAGATAAAAATAAGTATATAGATATAATCATTCTTTCAGTTTAACCAAAACTCAAGCATAACCTCCCATATATCTGAGATATGGCTTTTGGGGAACTGTTTAATTATTTAAGGTTTTTTAGGCTAAATGGGTGGTATAAGGAGATATTCGATTAGCTTTTTGGTTTTCAGAAACAGGATGCGGGTTTTGAGATGATTAATTACTCGTTAATCTCGTACTTTATGAATAAATAAAACCTAAATAGCAGGGCGTGCGACCTGCCACCACCAGCAGAGGCACAACTTCCCTCACAACAAGGCAGCAGATTGCCATTACACCAGCATAAGTTACGAATATTTTGGGTTCACCAAATTTGAAAAGAATATTGATCATTTGTGATAATGTAGTATTCAGATGCAGCACACTCATGCTGTTATGGAATTAAAGCCGGACAAGCATTGTACTGTGTATCTAATATAAGAAAGTTTATCTCGATGTATATTCGATATCCTAATATGTTACGTTATTCAATTTTAATTTGAACAGACTGTACACATAAATTATTTGAATTTGTAGTTCAGATTAATAATTCGATAGGAACTTGTAATTAACAATTTAATTACATCCGTTTCATTTGGTCTCCCTCTCCCACGTGAATAGATGGATGTTTATAAAATCGAGCGAGGCACTTCATGATAATGCTGCCCTACGAGAAGTCATAATTTCCAACCCTTTTCATACATCAAAAGACACATCCTCTCAAAACACAAGCAACAGCAGCAGCTACCACTGCCACCATGCACGGCGGCGCCACCTCAGCACCACCCCCAACACCCTCCAACAACCTCATGTGCACCTCAGATGCCGCGACAGCAGATGCCCTCTCGAGGCTCCTCCACCGTCTTCCTCCCACTCTCTCGTCCCTTCCCACACGCCGCTCACCTCCCACGACGTGTCCACAATCGATCTCTTTCTCCGACGTCCAGGCCAATCCCACCCTCCTCTCCTGTGCTTCTCAACTTGGGCTCTTCCAGCTCACCAACCACCCTATCCCATCCCAACTCGCCAACTCGGCTGAGTCAGAAGCGCTCTCTCTGTTCGACCTTCCCGCACACCAAAAACAATCATCCGTCCCCAAGAGCTGGCCCTTAGGGTTTGAAGACGACGACGAGGATAACGGAGACGGACTCGGTGAGTCGTTCTGTTTGGACTCGTTGTGTTCCACCGAGTCGACCGAGTTGACCTTAACTTCTTTGCGCGAGTTCACTCGTGCTTTGGAGAAAGTGGGGATGGAGGTCATCGAGCTGCTTTGTAGCTCATTAGGGTTTCAGAACCCACTAGGGAAAGATGACCCGACCCGGTTTTCTACCATGATGTGGATCTCTGAGGGCTTACCCGACAAGAAGTCGCAGACGGCGGGTCGGTTTTACCCGTATGTAGTCGGGTTACAGTACCAAATCCGAAGTAGTCAGAAGTACTCTTTGCTGGCGGATTCCGGTTGGCTCTCGGTGTTACCGCAGGTGGATTCAATCATGGTTACCATTGGTGACATTGCTCAAGTAAGTTTTGTTTTAAAACTCCAAATATTACTGTAAGAGACGACAGCCTTAGACGAAATACATTACAGAGTGAATCTTACAAAATATGTGTCTAAAGCGCATGTTCCAGTTCAAACCATATATATATATATATATATATATATATATATTGAAATGGGGATATTATATATGTGCAGGTATGGAGTAATGGGAAGTTGAAGAAAGTGAGAGGAAGGCCAGTGGCATGTTTGGGAAACGACTCCAAGCCATCAGGTCGCTGCATATCAATGTCGCTGTTGGTGACTCTTCCCATGGACAGTACATTGTCTCCTCTTCTTCAAATTGCAGCCATTGATGGAAATGACAGAGATGATGATAATGATGATGAAGGAGATCAAATCGACAGTAGATGTGGGGGTGGCGAAAGAGAAGCAGGAAGGTTGTTTAAGTCATTTTGTCTCGAAGACTATGCTTGGAGAGTGTATCATGAACGCCTATTTTTCAAAGACCCACTGGACAGATATCGTATCAAGAAACAATTTTAATTTAATTTCATAGCTAGAAATGCAGCATTTTGTTGTTTTTATTTTTTATTTCCGGGATAAACTCAGCTGTTTTTCGTTTGGTAACTCATTGAAGCTTAAATTTATATCTTTTAACTTTTTAAGACCATATCCAATGGTTGGGCTAAAAGTCAAATTTTTTAGCTCGAAAAATTTAGTTTTTAGCCCAAAAACAGCTTTTCTACTCCAATCATTCTACCCTAAAGTTTTAGCCCGGGATTATTAAAGAATGAATTTAGGCTATTTTTTTTTGTTAAATTAAATTTTTTTAAAAAAATAAATATGTAGACTATCGTAAATTAATTTTATGAACATTTTAATCTAAAAAAATTTAAATTCTGATAAATATTGGGTAGAGTCCACCCCGATTTCTGGGCTAAATTTCGGGGGGAATTTGGCATTGGTTTAGCATTTAGCATTTAACTCAAAATTTCCCCTTGGGTTGGAGTGCGTTTGGGGGGAAATTTTGGGGGCTAATTTGGCTTTTAGCCCACCATTGGAGTTGGTCTAAAGAGATGTTAATACCTTGTCATTTACTTTTCTGATTAAATTTTTAGACCTGACATGCATCAACGGTCCGAATGTAATTACATACTACTCAACGGTTTTTGATGGAATATGAGAAGATCGAAATGATATATATAGAGGAGTTGGGTTTGGGTTTGCCTACGACAAGCCCTACCTACACTATCAAATCTTAGTAGCTTACACACACACACATCTATACTACATATATGTAAACTTAAGCTTTATGAACAACCAAGAACCATTTTTCATTTTTTGGGTAATGGCAGGCCTAAGCCCGCAAGAATATCAATTACAAATTATTCTCCCCACGTCAATCTGTTGTCATTTTGTTTGCTTTCTTTGTAATGAGCTAGCATAATGCGGTTCAAATTCGTCTTTGGCAAGAATCGAATATAAGACCTCACACTTACAAGTGAAGACGAATATCATTAGACCGTAGTACTAAGTGATTGTTACGTGAATATTAGTTGATAAATAGTTGGTAATAGTATTACAAAAAAACAAATAATTAATTAAAGTTCTTAATATATATTATTCATGGTTCTAAGTTCTAACTTCTAATTAATGGTGTCCCAAGTCGGGCATTCGCAATGTTGTTAATTAAAACCCAATTCACTTTTTCACAGAAAGAAGAACCTAATCATTTTGCAGAATTTCATGTTTTATCTAACGCTTGGATTCTATGTAGTCATGATATCTATGTACGTACGACAGGCGACAGGAGAAGAAAATAGCTAGCTTAACAACATTTTGTACAAGGAGTGACATACCTGTCATCAATAGATAAGAGTTGTCAGGATCAATGACATACCAGCTGATACAGCCATCAACTATGGCTTGCTTCTTGGTAGAGAGA